TTTGGACTCAATTGTAGCCATAAATCAAGGACTACCTGTACTGTTAATGCTGGGAAGCACTGTCAATTTGTAGTACACAAACAAGTGTTTATTAAAGTGGCAACTCCACCCTTCAGAGCAAAAAAAAAAAAATTAAAGTAAATTTGATAGAAAATAAAATTGGCTAGAGATAAGAGCTTGGGTGTTTTAATTTATTCAATATTTCACCAGCTCTCTCTCTCGTTCCCACGCCGGCTTCACATGTTCATGCATTTGTTAGCAGCATATGAATAAAATAGAAAATTAGATCTGTCGCTCGGTGTGATGCGGAAAGGATGGCAGGACGGTTTCTGATAATTGAGGCCGCCTGATTGGAAAATTGGGGGGGGGCATTGCAGAAAGACAATTGCAGGTTGATGTAATGCTTAATTGGACAGCTATTGGAGAACAACAGTTGAAATTCTTTGTGCGAAAACAGCGAGCGAAACTCTGGTGCGTCTCCCAGCAAACGCTGTGACGGGGGATGACTTTCAGGTTTTGAAAACAAGGAACCGCCTTTGCTTAAAACCCCGCAAAACTACATCGGGGATAGGAGGTTATGAAGCAAAGTGGGGAAGAAGGATATCTTTTGGGTTAAGGAGGCAGGGAATCTGTAGCTCAAGCTCTAAGTTGGACTGGTAAGAAGAAGATCAACACATGTTGGTCAAGGTAGAAGGCATCTGCCAGCATCTTATCTTTTCAGACCAAAAAAAACTTCCAAGTGCCTGGAATGTGGCCACGTAACTGTGTTTGTGTGTGCGTAGGCGTGCGCGCACACCTGCGCCTGGCCATCAGAACATTGGGACCAGATTGAAAGATTTGGGAGGGCCGTTGTAACTTCAAACGATTGCTAAGGGACCTGTCACATGTCAAGTGCTACCTGTAATTCTTGAAAATTAAGAATTGATTTCATTTAACAGAATAACAGAGTTGGAAGGGATCTTGGAGGTCTTCTAGTCCAACCCCCTATTCAGGCAGAAACCCTATACCATTTCAGACAAATGGTTGTCCACTCTGCTCTTAAAAACTTCCAGTGTTGGAGCATCCATAACTTCTGCATTTTTATAAACATATTTTTATTTCCATTTTCATAACATACAATCACATGTTGTATACTATACATAGCCAGTATCATATAGTATTAAATAATGATTACATCAGTTCCACTTGTCCTCAACGCCCCAAAAAGATTAACACCCATTATTAGCTCTTCTACTCTCCATACACCTCTTTCTTCTACCTCTCTCTTACTTCCTATCTTCCCTCCATCTTCCTTTCCTACTCTATTTCCCCTTCCTTTCTCCTCCTCTCTCTACATTCCACTCCTCCTTATCCTCATCCTCCTCATCTTCCCCCA